GCCCAACTTCCAAGAAGGTTGTAAAAAGCAATTGAGATAATGAATATGAAAGCACTTTCAAAATGGCAAAAGCAAGGACAAATGTTCTGTCATTTCTAAGTCACTTTTATTCTTTGTCCTTAATAAGTAAAAATTTATTACTATTTTAATTTACATTTTAAACGGTTATAAACTTCATTACAACTCATTGGTTACCTTTAGTGAATATTCATTAACACTGTTGACATTCCCAGCATAAGTATTCATGAGATTAAAGTAAGAAATCAAGAGCAGTTATTTATTATGCATTGGTTAATTTATATTTAGTCAAATTCTTAAGGTGAGAATCAACAAATATTATGAGCTTGTAATAGAGCTCAGATCAATCCTTTGTTGGTAATACATTATGAACCTCTTAACTGCTGAACTTCTAGCAGTAGGTACAATGAAAAGACATTACGTATGTCCACAAAATACCACAGAAGAAAGGCAAAGGGAGGCGCTATGGCAAAAGGCAAACTGTGTTAAGGGTAATAAATGGAGTATTTAAAATTTTTTTTTTAGTTGTTGATAGACCTTTATTTTATTTATTTATATGCAGTGCTGAGACTTGTGCCTCACATGTGCCAGGCAAGTGCGCTACCACTGAGCCCCAGCTCCATCCCTGGAGTATTTTTTAATATTAACTATTTCCTTAGGGAACTCCTTTGTCTCTTCTTTCTCAAGCTTTTTTTTTTTTTTTTACATGCGTGTAGTTATAAATCCAGTCATGACTAAAGACCACTATCATTAATTTCTTCCCTTTCTACATGCATGCACCATTTGGTCACCCCCACTGAAAGTTGGGCTGCTTTTCCCCTTGGCAAGGAAACCTGGCTGGACCTGTGTTTGCTTTGACCAATTGAATTCAAGGAAGTGATATTCTGGAGATTCCTAATCCGGGCCCTAAGATAATTGATGAGATCTACTTACTTTCTCTTTGAACACTGAATGTTGGGACCCTTCCTTTTGGATTTCAGCCACAATTTCAGCCACGACTCTGTGGAGAGGTCGTGTAGGAGAATCAGAAAAACAACCATGTGGATGAGCCATCCTGGATTTTATAGCCCTTAAATAATGAAAGCCCTAGCCAACATCATGTGGCCCAAAAACCATCCAGCTGAGCCAGCTAAGCCCTTCATACCCACAGAATCAGAAGAGACAACGGTTGTTCTAAGCCAGTAAATTTTGAAGATGCAAGTTATGGAGCAAAAGATAACCAAAATAGAAAATGGTGCCTAGACACAGGGTACTGCTGAAGCAAAGTCAGAATATGTACCCTTAACTTTGGAACTGGGCAAGAAATAGAGGATTTAGGGTTTTAACTAACAGTGGTGTCTAGAACAATGAAGAAATTGAAAGGCAACCCTTGTTATGAAAGGCAATAAATACTTTCACCTGTAGTAATGTGAAAGGTAAGACTAATAAGCCTGTGAAAACTGCTAAAGGGAAAAGGCAGATTAATATATTTATGACTCTAGCTAAGATTTCCAGGTAGGATACTGAAAATGCCAAATGACTTTTACCTGCCTATGATCATATCTGAAAAGAAAAAAAAATGAGCTAAATAAGCTGTTCAGTTTTGAAACAAAAATCTAGAAGAAACATAGAGAATCAAGAACACCTTTTCCAGCCATCTATTTCTCCTCAAGGAAGAAATGACCTCAGAGTAAAGATCAAATTCAAGGAATTGCTGGTAAACCATAGAATCAGGATAAGTTAGGATCAAAATAGAAAATATGCCTCTGTAATATCCTTTAAGACTTCCGAAATATTTAAGCCAGTGCCTATAAACCTCTTAACCAGACAAGAAGATTCTAAGGATCTCACAGACCTACAGGGTAGACCATTTAGCCAGATAATGAGTATTTAAGACTCTTGTCTCTCCACTCCTGATTCTCAGCTAAAAGTATAGACAGACCTATCTTGAAGAGATTTGTAAGTGTGCCTTTTGTCTAATGGAGTTGATAACTTGATTCAAAGGACACGCAAGGTGCTTTTAAAGGAATTACACACTCTTTTAAGGGATAGAAAGTACAAAATGAAGAGACTTCTGGGTCTTCAATCTCCAAAAATCAGGAAGCAGTTTGAGAAAACTACTCAGCTTTAGTTCTCATCTATTATTTACCTTTGTAGTACGAGAGATTGAACCTAGTGGTGCTCTACCACTGAGCTACATCCCCAGCCTTTTGAGACAGCATCTTGCTAAATTTCCCAGGAAATTTTTCCCTAGTCACTGGGATTATGGTTGTGCACCACTGTGCCTGACCAGTGACAGTTACTCAGTGGATGACTCCAAGCAGAGTCAGTATTTCATAGGAAATAGCTAATAGCTGAGAATCACTTTGGGGGAGAATTAGGCCTTAATCAACATACATTTTCTTCTTCCAGAATCATGATGAATTACAGATATGTACTCAATTGGCATTCTGAATTGCCATAGCTTACTCATTGTTGTGTGTCACTCATTGCACCTCTTGAACAAGGGTATCTGCTGCTTGACTATTGGGTGCTAGATGAATATGGGGAAAAAACTTGTTTCCCTAGTTTCATGCATCTTCAGATAGAGAAATTGCAGGAAGTATTCCTCATATGTACTTGAAACTGATTTAGATCAAACTAGGCATTGAGCTTGAACCTGATGCCATGTTGAGATGAAAATAAGATTTCTTGGGATGCAGTGAATACATTCTATGGCCAAAAGGTATATTAGACATCTCCAAAGATGGCTGACTTCAAGCCTGTCCTTTCTTTTGTATGTACTTCCTTTGTGAATTAAGAGAAAAGGGTTGTTTTTTTCCTTCTTCTTTAATCTAGGCTGACTCTGTAAATTAGTTTGGCCAATACAATTCAATGGAAATTATATTCTGGGACTTTAAACCAGGGCCCCAACAGAACTCCACATCTCTTTTCCTCTTCTTGAAATACTCATAATGCTACTTCTTGAATCCCAGGCACCATGATAGAATACCAAGTCAGATGGAGAGGCTACATAGACGACTGTGATAGCTGGATTCCCAACTGCCATATGAATGAACTTTCCTGTTTGATTCAACCCCAATCTAGTTCCTAGATTCACAGAATTGTGAGAAAAATTAAATACTTAAATATTTTCTTATGCAGTGCTAGAAACTGAGCACTAGTAAACTCTACCACTGAGCTACATCCATAGCCCTTTCAATTATTTTTTCTTAATTGAACTCAGGGGTGCTTTACAACTGAGCTGTGCCCCTAGCTTTTTTATTTTGAGAAAGTGTCTCACTAAGTTGCTTAGGGCCTTGCCAAATTGTCAAGGACAGCCTAAAACTTGGGATCCTCCTGCCTCTATGTCCCAAGTTGCTGAAATTTCAGGTGTGTGACACCAGACATATATTTTTTAATGCACACCATCTTTATTAGTACTGTCACATTTCTAACTTTTCAATCTATTGAATGTAAAATGGTATTTATTGTGATCTTAGCCAAGTATTTAAGAAGTTAAATATCTTTCGTGTGTATAGTCACATCCTGTTAAAATACCTGGTTTGTCTTCTGCTTATTTTTCTACAGGACAATATGAATAGAAGGGAGATAATGGGCATCCTTGTTGTGTTCCTCATTTTTAATGCATATAGTAGTCATGATGCATGTTCTCTTTTAAGATGACACTGAATTCATTTGAATAGTGCTTCTTTTATGATTGATAAGAATTGATATTAGCCTATAATTTTCTTTCCCCTAACATGTCTGATTTTAGGAAGCTATATAAGTCTCATATACTCAGCGAGAAAGTATTCCCTTGACATGTGTGCTTGGAAAATTTGTATAAATTTTGGAATAGTATATCTTTGAAAGGGGTAAAACTTACTCTAAACCTTGGTCAGGTGTTGCCAACATTTTTTAAATTTCTTTTTACTACAAAACAGTATTAAGTCCAGTTTTTCTCTCTTCTTGAGCCAATTTAAGTAAATTGTAGTTTTCTGGAGTTTAGTCTATTTTGTCTGTTTTCAAATATGTGAGCACTAAGAAGCTCTTGGTACTTTTTCCCCCATCTATGCTGTACCTGTGGGATAGAACCCTTTCAATCTTTATGCTGTTTACATGTGCTTGTTTTCTTCCTGTTCCATTATGCCAGTTTAGTTTTGTCATGAAAACAATGTTGATGTTGTTAATCTTTTTTTTTTTTTAAAGAGAGAGTGGGAGAGAGAGAGAGAATTTTTTTATATTTATTTTTTAGTTCTCGGCGGACACGACATCTTTGTATGTGGTGCTGAGGATCGAACCCAGGCCGCACCCCCAGCCCTAATCTTAATCTTTTTCTAATTCATCAATTCATTACTTTCATTTCCTTCTACATTGTGTATTCTAGTGTTTTAAGTCAGACATTTAGTCATTTTCCCTAATTTCCTTTCAAAGTGTATTTCTACTCTATCAATTTTTAAAAACAAATTACTTAGTTAGATTCTCAGTACTTATGGGTGTGGTTTTTTTTTTTTTTTCTTTTGACCTCCCTATGTCTTATTTTAGATGTTTTTCTTTTAAAACAGCTTATAGTTTAATTTTTTTTTTTAAAAGAGCTGACCAACCTGTCATATGACTAGGTAATTCAGTATACTTAAATACTAATACAAGACTGGTTACTATTTTTTGTTTCTGCGTGGTGAGGACTGAAGCCAGGGCTGGCACATGCTAAGCAAGTACTCTGCCACTAAACTATATCCCCAACCCTATTATCTTACTAACATTGCCTCAAATCCCCAATATATTCCTTTATCTGTATTTACTGCCTTCCTATTCTACATTTTACATTTATTTTTTCTTGGAATGACCGATCTCCTATCTATTTTTTTTAGAGGTCACCCTTAAAATTTGACTGTATATATGTAAATAATCACTTTAAAATAAAAGCACCTCAGGACACTGTAATTTTAATCACCCTCTTCCCATTTTATAAGCTACTATGCAGCTTTCCAATTATATCCTTATTTGAAAATTCCACGTCATTCATGTTTTATAATAATATTTATTTACAACTATATTTGTTTACAGTTTATCATAAATGCCCTTCCTTTATGATTGTGTTATACAAACAACACTTTAAATTTACATATATTTATTATCCTATTTGCTTACTGGTTCTTCAATTCCAGATCATCCTTTCAGAGAAATTCTCCCTGTTGAAGATCATCCATTCGCAGTTTAAATGAAGGTCTGTTGACAGTCAATTTTGCTTCATGCGAATTCTAAGCTGACACTTTTTCTCAGATTTGAACATACCATTCTATCACCTTTTGGACACACTGGGGATACTATTGCTGTCAGGAAGCCTACTAAATATCTGTCTGTCTTGTGTTCACTGAAGATCTTTATGCCGTCTCTGGATGCTTTTGAAATCCTGTATTTGATATCATGCAGTTTACTCCATTAGGTCTAGCCATAGACTTGCTTTAAGTATGTATATATTGTAAGTATGATATATTGTACTTCCTGAATTTGTGAATTCACATTTTTCAAAAATTGTGGAAATTCTGTTATCTTTTCAAATATTGCCTCTTCTCCATTCTATTTTCTCCTCCTAGTCCTTACAGTTCTTTACTCCATATCTCTTACCTAATATTTTCAAGCTCCTTTTATTCTCCTTGCTGCTTCCTGGTAATGTCTTTAGACTTAGCTTCCAGTTCACTGGTCTCTTCAGCTGAATCTACTACAATACTCAGTATACCTGACGGTTACTTTTTTCTTATTTCAACAAATACATTCTCATTGCCAGGAGTTCCATTTTGTTCTTTTTCAGAAGTGGCTTGTGGTTTCATTCTCCATTTGGAGAACTCAATTCAATGTTTATTTTTTCCATAGGTTCTTTCTCATGCTAGCTAGTTTCACCTTGTGGCATGATATCTGGTCATGAAATAGTATTGCTAATCATTATCTATGGGAATCTTGGGACTTAATTACAAGTGTTTCCCTTCTGTTTCTGCCAGGAGCTACAGAGTTCTGTAAACTGAGGGCTATTTAATATTCAACTGTTCTGGCTAGGGCAGCATCTCAGATTCATATCTGGTATTAAGCAAAATGCTTATAACAGTGCTGCTAGTGGTACCTGGCATGCAGGAAACCAAAATTCACTTGTATTAATGCTTAAAAATAGTACTCATGATTCCCAACTAAAAAGGTGTTCATTTTTGTGGAAGAGGAAAGACTGAGGTGTGATTTCTTAAAAGGTTTTTTCCTACTTCTTTTGAGCACATTCAAAAGCAGATTTTATTCAGGATCTTGTTGTTTTAAAGTATCTAGTCTATTATATTGCTGGAAGCAAAGTCCTATTTAATATATTTAAAAAGTTATAATACACTAACCTGAGAAAGCACATAATTTGTCATTTGTTATTCATTCAAATCTCTCTGGAAAGGTTCCTTAGCCCTTAATCACTTGAACACGTATCAGAAAGGTCTTCGAATACAAATAAAGCCCACAAATTACTGAACCACTTGGGAGAAATTTCTCCTGGGCGGGTCTAGTAGTAAGCTATTGTAGTCAATACTGTTTAAATGTTTAATGTCCTGATCAATATGTGATCTAGTTCAACAGGACTAACATCTGTTAATATCCCACATTTTGAACCCTTTCAGAAATGGATAATGCTTTGCTACATGCAACTCTCATCTAGATGCATAACTTTATTTTTGGAAACCTGAGCTGCCTATAATATAAACAGATGCTAAACAAGGCAGCTGGTGAATTCACGTTGGTAAGAAACAAACACACCTAATAGGCGTTGTGGTAGAAGATCTGACTGCTAGTGTCTTGACTACAGAGGGACTGTGTATATCTTTATTATTCATAGTTGTTGATCAATGTTCTCTGGATGATCAGGAAGCTCTTTGTGCCTCACCCTAATCACTGAAGTAATGAAAGGAGATACCCGCAGCAAGAACTGCAACTGCAAATGCTGCAATCACACCTAAAAGTAAAACAGACACAAAACAAATGGAAATGGAATGAGAAAAAGAAAGGCTTAACTCTTCCTAGGCTCTGAAATGCAGGGAATAGATGAGCTATAACACAGCACACACAGAGACATACACTTATACATACACTGTATCATAATACACACACATATGGTCTATACTAAAAGCCAGTGAAGTCTTAGCAGAAAATAAAGCTATAAGTTGAAAAATTAGACTACAAATGTTGGACAAAATGTCTTACACAGAGGTGTGCACTTGGACAAAAAGACAAAATAAATTCTTTCAAAGATTTCTATGAATATACACATATGCGCACAACACAGAGAACACACCAACCATCTCACAATACTAAGTTTAAGCCAAAAAAAAAAAAACAGCAATAAACAGTCAGTGGTTTTCAAATATTAAAATGCAAAGTCGTCTGTGTAGCTATTCAAAACTATAAAAGCCAAGGTTTATAAATTCAAAGTAATAGTAAGTTGCAGTTGGCAACTTTTAGTTTTTCCTGATTATGATAAGTTAAAAAAAGAAATTAACCAAAGTCGTTCATACAGACCAACGCACAGAGATACAAAGAATTTAGGTAATTAAGTAAAGCTTATCTAATGAGTGACAAGAACTACAACTAAATATCTGGCTCCTAACTATAAGTAATAAATAATAATGTTTAGCATTTCTTGAATTGTTATTCCACTAAGCAATAATCTACTTTTTCTTTGTTCAAAAAATCAAAACATATTGAAGGGACTATTGCACTTCTTGGAGCATTTAAAATACAAAAGTGCGGGGCTGGGGCTGGGGTTCAGCAGCAGAGCACTTGCCTGGCAAGTGTGAGGCCCTGGGTTCGATCCTCAGCACCACATAAAAATAAGTAAATAAATAAAGGTATTGTGTCCAACTACAACTAAAAAATAAATATTAAAAAAATTCATTAAAATACAAAAGTGCATTTTAGATTTCCAGACATGTATTTTGATTTTTTTTCATAAAACACCTCAAAACATTCTAGGAATACCACTTTGGCTTCTCTTTACTAATTGATTCCAAAAACTCTAGATGTTTTTCTTTGAAAACACCAAAAGCTTATGGGCTATGCCATCTTTGAGGGCACTTAGGTGATAACACATTATTTATAAACTTTTCTTCCTCAAGAACCCCGAACTTTCCATAATATTTAACAAATACTAATAATCTGGTATTAATCTAGTACTTTTAAGAAATAAAAATAAATTTAAAGTACTAAGAAAACTCAAAACCCAAATATTATTTTTTCAATGTTATAAAAAAAGGTAAAATACCTATGTTTTGCCGAATTTTCAACATTACTGTAGTTTTAATTGGTTGCTCCAGTTGTTTATCATCTTTGTGTTCCAATGAAGCTTCATTATTCACAGAGCTCATACAAGCTGTAAAAGATGATAATAAATCCAATATAAGATGAGAATTACCATTTAAACTGAGTTTTAAAGAACATACAATCAATACTGATTTTCTTCTACTCATCTTTTTTATAACATTATAAAATTACTCCTTATCTAATGTAGGTGAACTGCATATCATAGAATATATGTCAAATATATTCCACTCATGGTATATGTTAAACAGGCATAGCTTTCCTATTTAACACAGTTTTATCATTGACCCAACCAGAAAGCTACAAAGCCAGTATCAAATGATTCCCAGTTTTTATACAGCTCCTGAGCTAAAAATAGATTACAAAAATAATGTGAAAGAGAGCTTATGTGGCTCTATTTTATGTACAACCAGAGATAGGAAAAAATGTGCTTTACATGTGTAATGTGAATTGTAATGTATTCTGTTGTCATATATAAGAAATTAAATTTTTTTAAAAATCAAAAAAAAGAATAAAACAAAAATATTTTTAAAAAAAGATTATTTATGAAGTAAAAAAAAAAAAAATTACTATTTGGCCTGATACAGAAAAAGAGTGCTGACTCTTGATCAAATCTGCAAGTTCAAATATACAAGCAAACATTAGAAATGTGACCTAACCACACTCTAAATGTTAAAGAGGACAAGTACATCACCCCATTTTACAGGTGGAAAACAAAACCTAGGAAAGTGCATAACTTGAGGGTCATGGGCATCAAGTGAGGATTCAAACAAAAGTTTTCTTTTAAGGGCTATGTAGCTCAATGGTATAGCACTTGCCTAGCATGTGTGAAACCCCAGGTTTGAGCCCTAGTACCCTCCCCAAAAGAGAGAGAAAGCATTCAACTAAAAAGAAAAGTTTTCTTTCTACTTCATTATGCTGACAGTGACTTATATAGATTGTCCTATCAGAATTTACTGAACACTGATTAAAAGTGACCTGATAACTTAGAGATTACACAGGGTAGGGATTTTCAATTTTCTTTTTTCCCCTCTAGTGCTGAAGAATTCTATGAAAACAAAAATCTGACAGAAAATCTCAGTATAATAGATGAAAAAAGTTACTACTGAGTTTGCATCAGGGGTGGAGGTTCCTGCAACCTGACCAGTTAGTTCCTTTCTTCTATCCGGTGTCATTATTCCAGAAGTGAGAGTGGAGTGCTGCTCTATAGAATTCTAGGAAACTACATCTGAAAACTACAGTTTCAGATTGATTCTTTTAATGTACAAAAAGAGAAAAAAAAAAAAAAAAAAACTGCAAAGAGACATAGTAAATACCATCGCTTAAATTTAAAGTAAAATAGCCCACTGTTTTAATTTAAAATGTCCTTACAGATATGTTTGTACCCCATTTTACTAGCATATGACCAGGAAGTTAACATATGAACTTCCAGCAATGGATACCCAGGGCACCAAATGGATACAAGGGAAAAAATTACTTCTCATTAATTTCCCATGAAGGTAAGTTTACTATGGTTTTCAGAAATAATCACTAGTAACTACTTCACTGAGATCAAGTGCACCACCATTCTTTCTTCAAGTATATAACTAAAGTGCTTTAACTTGGACCAATCCTCAAACCCCACCCCACCCCCTTTTTTTTTTCCCACAGTGCTAGGGGCTAGTGAATGCTAGCCAAGTGCTCTGCAATGAATTACACCCCTAGCCCTTTTCTCCTTTTTTCTACTCTCAATCAAATTAATCAAAAAAGATGAGACAGTAATATTATGAACTGTCTCTATACTATTTAACAGTTCCAATTTCTCAAGGGCTATTATACTTTAGTTCTAAACTATAATTGGTCCAACAGCTTCAAATTTCCTCCAACTTCAGTCTATAGGTCTAAAAGTTGAATGGGACAGCAAAATTGTATTTATATTAAACTTTGGATCTTCTGTTAGCAAATATCTTGGCTAGGTTCTTTCCATCTTTGGGACAATAAAATCCTTGTATCAAACACACAACACTTTACTAAGACCCTAGCCTCAGTAAATATTTGTTGACAAAAAATTATCAATTTTGTTAAGTTCTAGGGATTAGGATCCAAGGATCAATAAAATAGTGATCCCTGTCTTTAATGAGCCAACTAGAATTAAAAAAAAAAATCTGTATAGATACTAACTTGTCATTAACTTTCATATGTCAGCCTAGGTCAACTTCACTCAGGTTTTTCAGAGTTCCCTGTTCTATGCTATTCTTCATTCTTGTAATTATCTAAACCATTATTTGAATATCAAATGCTGATCTTCCATATTCGCCTATAAGATCTTTAAACATAAATAGGTAAAATATTTATCTACCTGAACTCCATGCCTAAAACATGGTAGGTGTTCATCACTATTATTTACTGATACAGACTGACACAATTTATATGTCTGTCTGTTTTGGTGGGAACATAAAGGATTTAAACTCAAATCTCAAGACATTAGGTCATTTCACCAATCTGTCAATGTTATTTGAAAATTTCGATATAAATAACATGACTTAATAAGAACTATTTCTTAAAATTAAGTAATTCTAAATTCAGACAAATCTTAAATTAATCATGAAAGAAAGTAACCTTCTTGAGCAACTCTTAACAAAAGAGGAAAAAACGGCCATGTATACATTCAAAGTTGTTCATTCCAAGCTGCTAACGGGTAGAAAGGACTATTTAGAAGCTTAAAATGAAATGTTAAGACTTGAATTCCTTAGTTGATTGTCTTCTGTATCTTTTTTACTAAGTAAAGTATCACTATAGGTGGCAATTAGCCATAAAAATACAACTTTAGTGTTAACTCATTTTTCCTTTAAATCCTCAATGTTTAACTGAACAACAAAAATGAATTTCAGCTTTGATATCCAGACATAAACGTCAAAGATGAGTTTCACCAGATTTTAAAGGTGTGTCTTCATTTTTTTCAATCTGATACTATGGATAAAGTATGTCTGAATTATTAAGTTAATGTCTACTGGGGGATGACTAACACATCTAAGAAATTTTAAAGCCATAGTTATCCCTTACCATAAGTGAGTCATTTTGACAAACAAATTGTCCTTCATCTCTTAAGTCATTTAGAAGTATGTTATTTTAAAATACTTACTTGGCAAAACATGTATTTTAAACATAGAAACTACTTGGCAACTATATTATAGAACATAAATAATTAAATAATAATCAAGCAAATAATAATTTCAAATAACTTAGAAATAAAGCCAGATACTTAAAACAAATTGAATGTTCCTAAATGTGCAACTGATTTTAATTTTTTAATCTGAACATCTGAATTACTTTTTGTAGTTTACTTTATATGGAAATCCTAATTCCAAATGTTTAGGAAAATCTATGCATATTACAAAAAAACTTTCATATTATAATGTGAATCTTTTTTTATTTTTAAGGTGCTGGGATTGAACCCACAGAAGCTTTACCATTGAGGCACAACCCCACTCCTTTTTATTTTTTGAGATAAGAGTCTCACTAAGTTGCAAAGGCTAGCTTCACACTTTTGATCCTTCTTCCTCAGTCTCCCAAGTCACTGAAATTACAGATATGGGATACTGTGCCCAGCTTAATGTTTTTTTAAATATATTTATATATAAAATCCACAATCTAAGGTTTAAAAGTACTTCATATTAGTGGGTTCATGCTAATATTTAATATGATACAAACAATGCTAATGATAAAGCTACTGAGAGAGAACTGAGAAATAGGGTTAAAATATATTTAGTATGCATATAAGTAATGGAAAAGAAGAATGTTGTTTTGGTTCTTAAATCTCATTTATTTGCAAAAATGAACACCATGCAAAACTATGGAACTTTAAGTATAATTGGGATTAACCAGTACAATATAGAATAATTTATAAAATAGCTATGTGCTTTCAATGACCTTTCAGTGGAAATAAAATACAAAAGTAGTCATGATAAAGAATGAAAAAAAAAATGGAAAAAATTTACTAAAATTTTAAAATGCTAATGCCAAAATTTTGATACTGTAGATTATAGGTTATTGATAATACTTACTGCTTGTTAATTCTGATTAAGTTCTTAGGTACCAGTACTCTTAGGACCTTATTACATTCTCTGAATAAGTAATAATATATATGACATTCTATCTTGCAAATCAGATTATGGGCTTTTTTTTTTTAAATATTTTTTTAGTTGTTGATGGATCTTTATTTATTTATATGTGGTTCTGAGAATCGAACCCAGTGCCTCACACAAACTAGGCAAGCGCTCTACCACTGAGCTACAACCCCAGCCTTGATTATGGGCTTCTTGAGGAAAGGAATCCCCAGTTATTGATTCCCATCTATTATAGCCTTGAATAGAGCAATGCTTAATATATATCTCATAAATAGACATACTAAATGCTGTAAACTAGAGTTACTATTTCTGGCACAACAACCAGTACTATGTATTTTCAAGAATTTTAAATGTTCTCTACCCCTTACAATGTTCTGAACTATTGAGCCATAAAATTATGACTATTATGTCCTTTTTAAATTCTAATCATGTTCAATATAGTGTACTACAAAAACCTTATAAACTTCATGTCTAAGTGTGAATAAAAAGGTGTGCTATTGTCGTAAAAAATAAATGCACAACACAGGGAACTATGAAAAACTTTAATGAAAGTGACCTAGTTTGAGCACATAAAAGTTAATGACAAGTTTAAAAAAAATTCTAGTTGATTCACTGAAGACAGGATCGGTATCTCATTGATCTTTGGATCCCAATCTCTAGGATTGACAAAACCAATAATTCTGTTGTCAACAAATATTTAATGAGTCCCTATGATGTGATGAGGCTAGGATCTTAGTAAAGCGTTAGAAACACAGTATGAACAACAAAGGCAAAAGTCCTTGGCCTTGTGAATTTTAGGAAATACTCAATAAATGCTTGCTGAACTACAAATATAATGGCTTCATAGAATTTTGAATTTATTAGATTTTAGTTTGTTTTGGGGAAGCTCATGCAAGGCTATCTTATAGTGGTAAATGTCTTAGCAGTGTTAAGAACATGAACCCCGTTATTAACTCTTTTAAAGACTAACTTTAAAAGCACTAAATAAAATAAAAGCCAGTCTGTACACTCTTACATTTAAAATACAACAACAAATCAAACATGAATTAAAAATATTTAAAATTATAGTAAAAAAATATAAATGAAATCTTTCTCTTCTTTCTGTTTTAGATCCAATTTTTAAAGAAACTTATTAGTGGGGCAGGTTTTGCAAACAGTGCTACCATTATTACTCCTTCCTTAGTTTACGACAAGCTACTTACTAAGAGTGAGACAAAGAATATGAAAACCATATATGATAACAGATCCAAGATTCCAGCTAACAAATAAGAAACTAAATTGTCATGATCAATAATAAATTAAACTAGGATACTATAACAACATTCATTTACGTTAAACAAGTTCCAAAGGACAGAATGAAGGACAACAGGCTAAAATAAGTATCTAGATGATGGAAAATAACAGTCCTATAGTCTGTATTAGTTAGACTCACAGGAAGGCCATAAATAAACCTGTCAGGAAAAAAGCACAGCTGCTAAACCAAGTGGCCTAAGTTAATTTCTAGTTCCTCCATTAACAGTAATATAAATGAGAAATTACTAAAACCTTCAGAGCTTAAATCCTCTTAAATGGAAAACAGGGTTAATATAACAGCATCCACATCACAGCAGCTGTTACAAGGATTAAATAATTTAGTATTTATAAAGTTTTTAAAACAGTAGCTGGCACACAGTAGGTTCTTTATTAACAATGGCTAATATTAATATAGCCATATATTACATAACAATATTTTAGTCAATGGTGGACCCAATATATGATATTGCTTACATAAGATTATAATGAAGTTGAAAAGTTCCTATCAATGAGTGAGGTCATAGCTGTGGCATTCATCTTAATGTCACAGAGCAACACATGACATGTTTGTGATTATGCTGCTGTAAACAAACCTACTGCGTTGCTAGTCATATAAAAGCATAGCACATACAATTATGCATTGTATATAATACTTGATAATAAACAACATCACTAGCTTATATATTTATTATACTTTTTATCAATATTTATAGTACAGTCCTACTTATTTAAAAAAAAAAAGTTTACTATAAAACAGTATGCCACAACCTGAGGGTGTAGCTAAGTGGTAAAATGCTTGCCCAGCATTTAGGAGGCTCTGGGTTCAAACCCCAGGCCCTAAAATAAATGAAAAAATAAAATTTAAAAACAAAATAGCATGCCATGCTATGCCAGCATCAACTCTGGACACATCATGTTTAACCTGTCTCTTGACTGCATCAAATGTTGAGTAACTAACCAAGTTTGTGTAAAATACACTCTATGATGTTCACACAACAATAAAATTAACGAAAAACACATTTCTCAGAATGTTCAACTGAGTGTAACATCTCAATAAAGACAAGTCAGAGTACATATAAGGAAGTAGTGTTTTGGGGGTTTTTTTGAGATGGAGATCTCTTCATTTAACCCAGGATATCTGTCCTGAAACTCCTAGGAGCAAGAGATCCTTCTGCCTCAGTCCCTTTAGTAGTTCAGATTATAGGGACATACCAACACACCTGGCTCCAGTGTACTTTCAAAAAGTAGGTATTTTCTATCTGTTCAAGAATATACCAGAGTTACACTTTTAAAAAACATAGCTGCTCTTTAAAACTGAGCACTAAGCACTTTAGAAGAGTGCAGTTTTTTTTCTTCAAAACATTGTTCACATCATGATCAACATTAATCTGATTGGAAAAAACTAAGCCTGGGTGATCTTTCCTAACTTGATACTTGACTGACAGATTTGAAATTCCCCAAATACTTACTTGACTCACCATAACAACAGTGCACTCTACTCCTCGTAGGGGGTGAGAATTAGCTATGCTAAGAGGAATAACTAAGAAATTAGAAAAAGAACTTTAAAAAATTGAAATATTCAAATTTCATAAACACCCACATTCAAAACTAACCTAAAAACTTTTTACTTTGACATCACAAGTTTCAAAGACAGCTAATTGCTCTTTTACTAAAGATTTATTGACATTTATACATAATTCCTTTTATTACATATTTTTGAATGTTTCAAGAAGCTTGTTATACACTTTCGTTTTTACAGACAAGTTTTGGTATCTTTTCCTTAATAGAAAAACAAAAAAAAAAGTAGTCTTTAGACTAAAATTACGGCTAGGGGAAGCAAATTATTTTACACAATTGGATAGTATGACAAATCTATTCTCTAAAAATAAGCTTGATCTAATTTTTGAAAATGCTCATTTCACTTTAGTGTACTCATTATATAAAAAAGGACATGAAGAAAAAGGCAAGAAATATAGAGAAATATTTAATAAACAAGAGTAGTTAAAAAACTTTATGACATGATGCTTAATCAAATAACTAAGACTAGTTTTAAGAAAAGCTTGCTCTTACATTAAAATAAATACCTAAAAGTTATACATTTTCACTTATTTAAGGTTAAACTGATCTTATGAAGATCTACTTACTAGGCCTGAAAATACCTTAAATGTTTTAAATTTTGGTATGATTTCTAAAAATGGTTACTGTATGTTTATTCATGTAGAAATTAGTCAAATACATTTAAATGCCTTGATTAACACTTGAAATGGCAAACAGAGTTAGCTTTAAGAAAATATAAAGACATGATATTTAAACCAGATATCTCAAGGGTAATCTTAGCAATAGTCTAATCAGGTTGTTAATTACCTGTGTTGACTTCCTCTGCAATTTCCAAATCTTCTATTTGAACCGTATGATCTAACATCTCTCTAAAATGGTCTCTGATTTCTTCAGCTGATTCATCACCAAATTTATAATCGCATAACTTTACAGCGGATCCAGGAATGGGGACAAAAACTCGATGAGGGAGAATGTAGAACTCTTTCTCAGAATCTAAAAGGAGAAGGAACATTATCAATATTTAGACAGATCTGTCACTGGCATTTGTCAAGATGTACTTGGGAAGGATATGAAAATACTAATAAAGCTTAAAATGACAATTTTCATTTCCTAATTGATGTGGCACAAAAACACTCTTGGAACACTGAAGAAGAAAGCTGTCATCTTCTTGTTTGTTTTAAACTTAAAACACTGTGAATTTTATAATAAGCTGACTTTTCCCTTTATCATGCATGTTTGGAGTCAAACTGGAGTCTATCTACATCAAGGATACAGGACAGACAGCATATGTTTTTGTATTAATGTCACTACTGACTACATCTTACTTGATGGAGTCCAATATCAAGAATGTTTAGGACATGAACACATATATTTTGTGTACCAAGCTCACTACCAACCCCCAACTTGCTTGCTTTCTCTTCTTCCATGTGCCTCATTATTTATTTTTCTCTGTTTTATGTATAATGCCTCTTTGTATACAACCTTAAATAATTTTTAGACAAACATGACTCTATATAAATAATAAGTACTTCACTTTTCTTTGAATATTTACAAACTAAAACTTACTTTTTCACTGTCTAACAGTCACTGATTCACATAAACACATAACTGCTGCTTAGTTCAACACTATGATTGTAATGAACTATCACAAAAATAGATTTTGTGTGAAGAAAGACCTCTGTCAAAAAGACACATGACTAAAAAGCTATCGATGTAAAGATCAAGTAGAAAAGTGGGGTTCACATTAAAGTAACCTACATTTCCTCACTAAGAAACTAGTGGTACCTTTAATTACAAACAGAAGATGAACAATGCCTTAAGTGCCATGGAAAATGCCATGATTTCACCTGTTCCCTGTAGATTCCATGCATTACCTGTTTAGAGATGAGAACTAGGGCAATAATTTTACTCTTTGACCAGACTGCCTCCTAGTTGTAGAACTGCATCACAACAATTTGTACAGCAGCACATAAACTATGTGTTGAAATAAGGACTATATTATTTTATTTTGAGCCACCGATATTTGAAACAGATTAAGTAACTTCAAAGCTACCTAGAAGGTACATGTATTACTGGCACACAAAAATTTTAAACCATTTCAAACTGCATCAATTCTAAGTTTGCCTGAAAAAATAATATAAATCAGATGTGAAGAAAATGATTGCAAAAACTTAAATTGCTCATTAAAAAAAGAAAAAGCACTTCTTCTAACTTTCAAATTAAAAGGTTCAATTAGCAATTTATTATCTACGTAAGACCAAGTTTTTCATTTGATCTGAAGTTAAAAATTAAAGGAATAATCTTTTGGAAGAAACACATCTCAAATAGTATTCCAAAAAAAAATCATTTAGGAATATTCTCCACAGGAGAGAGAAAGATAAACGCTGAATCTGGCAATCCCAAAGAAACAATCTAATATACTAAAAAATATAAAGATTATGATTGATTAGTCTAGCAAACCCAATATGTTGGCTATAAGTAATACTAAAAGAAGTTAGTTTATAGAAAAGTTGTTTGTTCCCTATAAACATAAAAATCTTTCCTTAAAAAGTTACTCTGATTGTTTCAATTACGTATATACCCAAATTTGAATTGAAAATCCACTCATATCAGAATAGTAGGAATGGGGACTAGGTTTAGGAGGTTTAGTTTCAAAAAAGCATACTCAATATTATCATTTTTTAAGTGAAAAAAATATTTTAAACACAAATTACTGAGCTGGTATAAATTAATTGTTTCCCCAAAGACTGAATAGTTATTAAACTATAACAGCCTTTGTTTTTGATGTAATGAAATCTGTTATAGTTGAGAGGTAAACAACATAGTTTATAAATAGTATCTATTTAAAAATTTATTATATGAACACATGCAAAAAAAAGTACTTATTTTATACTCATAACTTTTTTTTCTGGGATTTCATTCAAAAGCAGATCCTCAAATAGTATTTCACAACGATCAGCAACTGTGTTCAATATGTCTCTCTTCACTGCCTGAGTAGGTGGGGGATGGGACAAGCAAAAACACAACAACAAAACTTTAGAATTTCATTATTTAATTATAAAACCCCTACAAATTTTGCTTCCCAGTATAATTACATTCACTCAACAACTGACGCATCCACATCAATCAATTTGTTATTTCCATTTATTTACTATACTTCTTAATACAATTACAGTTAATGACAAATTTGCCTAGGACCTCATTTAAACAGTACATTAAAACCAAATAAATGAATGAAATTTTCTATCTAAAAAAATCTTACCAGTATTCCAAGTAAGGACATGAATAACTATAACACAGATGCCAGTCATCATTTTTTAAAATTCTGAACTATACAACAATACCCATCAATACTTTTTCTATTTACAAAATTCAATTTCCCTCAGAATAAATGATTTCAAATGTAGTAATATTTCACAACTGTAGTGTACTACTAAGACTGCATAATCATAACTTTAAAAGAAGCCAACAAACAAACAAACAAAAAAATATATATATAAATTATATATATATTCTACATGTAAAAATCCTGGAACCAGTTAAATGGTATATTTGGACTGTCCAACAGAATGGCCCTCCATCAATTAAGATCATCATAATAATTATAAAATCTGAGGTTAAAAGAAATAAAATTTGAGGATTTTTGAAGAGTTATGTTAACTTGCATCCATTTTTCATATACCAGTTATTCCTTTTTGTACCTGCATAGCGTCTTTAACCTTGGGTTTGTTGCTGTGAATATAAGCTCTGCATTTCACAGAACCCTTAAGGTTTACGGAACCACTGCAGATCTGAACTGTGGCTGTAGATCTGTGGTCTGAATTCAGAAGCTGAAAGACAAATATGTTTAAGTCCTAAAAGTCAACAATATTTAACTACAGGAAACTACATACATTAGCCATCTTATGAAGAAAGCAGGAATTTTTGACTGTTTGAAAATATTCTCTATAAATTATTAATAGGTCTTCATATTTTTAAGTTAAATATAATTTCCTAAGCATTCTGAATTTGGGTTGAAATTAAAGACATCCACATCTCAATGTATTCTTTCACTAACATAAACATCTAAAATACCAATATTTATTCAAAATATTCACCAAATATATACTATTGCAGATTACTTAGATAAAAGATAAAAAATGTTTTATAAAGACATGATATTAGGAGAAATAAAGCATGTAATATAAGAAATGCACAAAAGAATACGAAGTAGGATCTGATAAATATAAAAAAATTATAAACAGTACAGACTCACATTTACTTAAACTTTCAACTCATAACTTCCATATGCCAAAAGTAATGCTATGCTTCATTTAGGCAAAACCAAAACATCCACTATGACTATCAGCTAAAAATGATATTAATAGTTTACAACAGATGAAATGGTTACCATTTTCATCTCATAGTTCTATCTTCTTTAGTCTAGGAGTATTAGTTCCTGCTTGTTTTTCAGATTTCATAAACTCTTTTTTCTTTTTTTTTTTGTTCTGGTGATTGAATTCAGGGGCACTTTACCAGTGAGCTAGCTGCATATGCATGCCCAGTCCTTTTAGTTTTTATTTTGACATAGGGTCTCGCTATGTTGCCCAGGGCCTTGCTAAGTTGCTGAGGATGCCCTGGAACTTGTGATCCTCCTACCTCAGTCTCTCAAGTGGCTGGGATTACAGGCATGTGCCACCAAGCCTGGCAGTTCACAAACATTTTTTAAGTTCATCATCTTAATAAGTGTTTAAACAAAGAGAGCAAAGAAATACTGAAAAATACTTCTAAAGGTTTATCTTCAAAATGGGGAAAAAAATTGTGATAAAAACTGAGTGTGATGGCGCATGCATGTAATCCCAGTAGTTCAGGACGCTGAGGCAGAAGGACTGCAAGTTCAAAGCCAGCCTCAGCATCAAGGCCCTCAGTAACTTAGCAAGACTGTTTGAAAATAATAAAAAATAAAAACCAGGGTGGGGTTGTAGCTCAGTGGTTGAACATCCCTGGGTTCAATCCCTGGTAGAAAGAGAGAGGGAGAGAGGGGGGGAGAGAGAGAGGGAAGAGAGAGAGAGAGAGAGAAAGAAAGAAAGAAAGAAAGAAAATTGTGATTGTGATTAAAAAAAATTGGATGAGATAAGAACATAATCTGTGTTCTAAGTAATTTGGAATAAAACATTTAATAGTTGGGTCCATTCTGAGTAAACAAAATCCAAATCATACAACTTGTTAAAAATGCTATGGGTCTATAAGCCCTGAATACATAGCTACTGATAGAGTTTTAACTACAATTCAAAGTCTAGTTTTAAAAAAATTCAAACTTAACCACGGTCAAGGTTTTGTTAGTAAAAATCTTCTCACAGACCAAACAGTTCTAAAGGTCCCAAGTCCATTCAAAAAACACTTCTCAAAGAACAAAGCAGCAAGGTGACAATGCTGATACTCTTTGGAATAAGCTTCCTATGCATATTTTATCAATACATCCATAGAGTGATAGTGGAGAAGAGTAATGGGCTTCCCTCATCCACACCACAAATCATTATTATAGATGAAACTACTCTTTTTGAAAAATAATGCCATATTTTTCATATTTAATATATAATTTGAAATATATCTTGTCACATATTAAACATTTATAATACATATGTGTATTAGTTAGGGCACTGTTTTCCAAAATAGACTACGCTATGCAAACACATCAAGGAGAAGAGTTCTAAAGGATACAAGAACTGACTCATTTCTTTTGGTGAAGATGTAGCTGGGTTCTACAAATGTAAACTCCACTTGGTTACCTGAACTTGGGAACAAACTGGTTTACAAAAAGCCTTTGGGAATCTATCTTGTTCATAAGTGAACTGATACTGATATAGAATTTTGGAAAAAAGAAAAATACTTCTAGCTATGGTAACCATATGAAACCCAACAGATATAGAGGCATTTTAGGCTAGATTTTAAGGTACAGATAAGATTTTTACTGGGCAAATAGGGAAAATATGGCTGCCAAGACACATGATTCAGGAAATGCAAAGAATATTAAAGGCAGAGCAAACAAACAGCTATAATAGTTAGAAAATAAGGATGAAAGGTAAGCTGAGACTATGAAGAGTCCTGAATGTGTCTTTTTTATTGGTCAATACAGAGCAATTAAGGAATCTGAGTAAGGAGAATAGTAAAATCAGTGTCTGATCCTTCTACAAATACTTTCTGAAAAACAGGAAATCAGAAGGGATAATACGAGGTTACATGTAGGGCAAAGTAGCAATATGGGAGGTATTACACAAACAACAATATAAAGGTTTTCAGAGAGGTGATCACTTTGGGCAAGAATATATATATATGGAAAAGAGACCAGTTAAGAATTACTTGTGCTAATCTAGGTAAAGTATACTGTTGTGTAAGGCTAATGACAGGGGAAGTGTAAGGAAAATAAAAGGTAAGTCCACACTGCAAGGAAAGCATCAATGAGACCTGAGTAGAAGAAAAATGACAACAAGTACCTACTGACAATTATTATATATTGGTCACTTCAAAAATTCCCAGAGAAACCAACTGAATGTTTGACAAAAATAATATTACGTTATATAATAATATACATCATTACAACAAATTATCTTCTATGACATTATCTTCTACTGTTTTCTCTGTGTCCTTGTACTCTGATACAACTCTATTATTAACACAATTTACATTTCTAGGAATAATTTGTACTTTTAACATTTTTTCTTCAAGACATCCAACTTTAAATTTCCAAAAATATGTAATTTTTGAAATAATCATATAGAAACATGAAACTTGCTAATTAGTACTTTGTGATTTTATCAAACCCAGAGGAAGTAAAAAAATTCCATCAAATTAAGTGTATGACAACTCCTGGCACATCTATGCATACATTTTTTTTGCTTTGTATAAAGTTGCTAAAAGTTGAAACTTAACTTATAAAATACTTTTTTGTTAAACTAAAAAAAAAAAAAAAAAAAAAATTTCCTGGGAATAACCTTTCCAACTGGATATTTTATACAGTTTCTTGCATCTCTAAAATTCTTTTATTCTCTAATTACAAAAATAAATAAATTCATTGTGATAATGTTAAAAAATAATATTTTTTTTAAAGAGAGAGAGAGATAATTTTTATTTTATTTTTTTAGTTTTCGGCGGACACAACGTCTTTGTTTGTATGTGGTGCTGAGGATCGAACCCGGGCCACATGCATGCCAGGCGAGCGCGCTACCGCTTGAGCCACATCCCCAGCCCCCCAAAATAATATATTTTAAATAAGTGGGATAAGTATTTTAAAATACTTACCAATTGTGTTAGCACTCTCACATCAAAAGAATGACTAGTTGCTTGAGTATTTCCTCTGAAAGATTTTTTCTAAAAAAAATCAAAAAACAAAAAAGTTAAAAAGCCATACTACTGAGATTGTAAATGGAACATAAGATAATTAGGAACTATTCTACATGTACCAACCAACTAAAAGGAAACACAAATCTTACTACTTACTTTAATTTTGTTTTTTTATAAAGATAAGCTACTTCATGTATTCTGTATCAATTAATATGTACTCTTAAAACTGTTTCCTGCTGAGCACAGTGGCGCACATCTGTAATCCCAGCAGCTTGGGAGGCTCAAGCAGAAGGATCGCAAGTTCAAAGCCAGCCTCAGCAAAAAGCAGGGCGTTAAGCAACTCATTGAGATCCTGTCTCTAAATAAAATACAAAAAAGGGCTGGGGATACAGCTCAGTGTTTGAGTGCCCCTGGGTTCAATTCTCAGTACCAAAAAAAATTTCCTACTTTGATTCCTCTAAAGCAAGGATTGGCAAACACAACTGCCTGTGGGCCAAATCCACACTGCCATCTATCTCTGTAAATATTTTTTTTTCTGAAACACACAATTATTATTCATTTATATTATCATCTGTGGCTACCTCCACACTACAATAGCAGAGGTAAATAGTTGTAACCAGATAACATGACTTGCAAGGTCTAAAATATTTACACAAAGTCTGTCCATTCTTTCGCTATAGAGAGAAAGATCACTGATATTCCCTCTATAGATCCTCCCATAAAATGGCCATGCCTAGTTTTTAAACTGCTATCATGAGATTAAATTGAAATTTACATACACTTCCTACTGCAGGGTTCAGGATCTCAATTACATCAGAAATAATCTCTCTCATCATTTTCTAGAAAAATAGATCTTAGAAATGAATAGATAAACCTGTTTTCATGAAGTCGAAGCCTAAAGATAGAACATCTTTTATTTTTTCTTATTTCATAAATAAAAATGATTTTTTCTTAACTCACCTGTCCTTCTAATAGATCACAGTCTTCATCTTTAACTTGTCCATTAATCAAATAAACACCATTTTCTATTTGCTTGGCCCAGCGTGTAAGTCCATTCTTAAAAGAAATGCAACATGGAAATCTTACAGATATAACCTCATCTCTACCTCCCTAGACTCCACTTTTTTCCACTGAACACAGTAAAAAAGAAAAGCACTAATTATTAGTAATGCAGATCTCATAAAAAATAAAAATGAAGACATCTTAACTTTTTGGCACTATCATTTACTTCAAACTCTGGATTCTTTTTAACTGCATGACCACAGTAAAATTAAATTCAATAATGTTCATTATCTTTTTTCAAAATATGAGAAAAAGAACCTTAAACAAATAATCTAAAGCAGTGTTAAAAAGGAAAATATAAGCAAGCTCCATTTGTCTTAATATGGAAAAAGAAAGAAAAATGAGACATAAACAAAAAAAGAAGCAAACAGAAATACAAAAGAGGGCCGGAAAATAGAAAAGAAAATTGACAAAAAGAGATAGGTGTAAGACCAAAGAGTATAGCCACTTACATAATTATTTTTTATATATGTTAATTAATAAATATTTATTACATACCTGTTATACTAAATATACTAGTATTATGACTTTGTTCCACTTCTAAAAAAAATCTAATCTGGAATTAGTTACTTATATATCACAAACATTATTATAAACAGAATGTTAGTTTTGAGGATTATAAAATAAATTTCACAAACAGAATAACAGCAGATTTTCCACTTAGCAAACACTAAAAATTGATTTTACCCTGATACCTTCGTATTTTTTTCCAGAGTATAGCTGACAGAAGTAGAAGAAAGTGGAATGTGAATATCAATGTGAATGGTACAATCTAGAGAAAGCCATGAAGTAGACAGTCCACTTTGATACTTCCAATCGGCTGGTCTTGCTGAACTCTTTAGCAGAGAAGAAGGTGAAAAAACAAAGTATAATGTGGTTTAGATAAAAAACATGTATCAACATAGCACCATAAAGTGTACAATCTAATAACTCAAACAAACCAATACACAATATATATGGCCAAATTCCTTGATCAAAGGACTATATATTACTACAAAATAAAAAGTAATGCATGTATTAAGTTCAGTAGAGCCTAGAAAACCTTGGCAACCCCCTACCTCCCCTGGTAGAAGGAGGATCATAAAGTTCCATGTTTAAAATTCTGAGAAATCCTCTGGACCTCTGTCTTTCACCTGTAGCTTCAGTAATGTCAGTTCTGAAGATTCTGATATGTAACTGAGCAACTACTAAGTGCCAGCCAGTCTCCTTTCTGTCCCATCCTTACTAACCATATTGCAAAATTACTTTTTCTCATTACCTTTTAGACTCCTTGACAAAATGATAGTCTAGATTTAACAGAATAGACACTGTAGCTACTAACAGTCCTCATCACTTTTACTATCAACTTCTTAAATTTTCATAATTATCCAGGCATACTGGCACATGCCTGTAATCGGAGCAACCCAGGAGGCTGAGGCAGGTGGGTCACAAGTTCAAGGCCTGCCTCAGTAACTTAATGAGAACCCTGTCTCAAATAAAAAAGGCTTGGGGTGTAGTTCAATGGTAGAACACTCCTGGGTTCAATCCCAGTACTGGGAAAAAAAAATTAACAATTAAAAAAACTACAAATTTTTCTTGCCTATAATAAAATTAATCATAGTTCAGAATAAAAACCACAGGTGACTGTAGATATCGGTAGAAAGTAAAGGCACTGAAATTATTTAAACTAAATATAAAGATAAATTTAAACTTAAAAATAGTTTGCAAAAACAAAAATCTATAAAGAGTAATTTTGTCTTACCTTTGGGTCACGGACATCGTAAGTTCGACAAGATATTCTTTACTAATTAAGGATAGAAATGACCAAAACAAGAAGTAATTCTTGGTAATCAACAGAATATAAATCCTCAAAAAATAAAAATAATACATCTAAGAGTTCTTACAAATCACAATGCTTTACACAGTTACATATACATAAATGTATAGGTATGTACATGTATATATAAAAATTTATTTATGTATGCACACGAATATAAATTGCTTGGTCTAAAGTACTTGTGGTAATTGAAAACTATTTCCTCATGTTTACAAACACTGCTAATCACAATAAATAGAATATAAGCACTTGTGACATTTTCCACAAATATATTCTCCAAAACAAAAAAGGAGTGTTGTTTTGGATGGGATCAAGCCTAAGAATATCTGGTCAAAGGCCTATACATGGAACTTTGCAGTTAAATATCAAATTAGTTAAAAGCTTACCTTCTGCAGGAATGGTCGCTTTTAAAATTTTGTTTTCTGAAAGTCTGAATTTATTGGGCCCTTGGATTGCATTACTTTTTAGTGAGGTTGCTTCTTGGGGGTCCCTCTGTTCTAGAAAGTTACAGTGACTTGAAGTACCTATAGCTGGTTTTTAATGTCTTTTAATCTTGGCTCAAAGCATAAGGATTTCTTGGATGTCCTACACTGTTCAGTACAGTATACCTGTGCTTTAAATTGCACATGTTATCTTTAGGAAATGAAGGTGAAAATTTTAACAATTTTTTTTTTTTTTTTAATTATTTTGCCTAAGCTGTCAATTGGCATTTCTCTCTCTCTAGAATCTATAGTGTTTTATGGAACCAGCCTGGGTATCCACAATGAATGAATGGATAAAGAAAACGTGGTATATTTACACAATGAAGTTTTATTCAGTCATAAAGAATGAAATTATGTTGTTGCAGGAAAATGGATGGAACTTGAGAACATTATATTAAGTAAAATATAGCAAATTTTAAGAAAGTTAAGGGTTATATATTTTCTCTTATATGTGAAAGCTAGAGAGGAAAAAAAAGGAAGGTAGTAGTGGAGATCACATAAAAATCAAAGGGAGATGAGTAGAGTAGAGGAAAGGGACCTGGGGGAAAGGGAAGGGAATTCCAGGAAAAGGGAAGGGAATACCAGGAAATATTATTGGTCAAATTATATGGTTACATTGTGTTCCTATATGAACACATAACAACAAATCCTAGCATTATATACAACTATAATGCACCAATAAAAAAAAATATGGATTAAAAAAAAGAATCAGACATGAAGAAAGATTGCATTCAAAAAAAAAAAAAGAATCAGGGCTGGGATTGTGGCTCAGCGATAGAGTGCATGCCTAATGTATGTGGGGCAATGGGTTCAATCCTCAACACCACACAAAAATAAAATAAAGGTATTGTGTCCAACTACAACTAAACCAAAACATTTAAAAAAAAAAGAGAATATACTGTGCTTGATTGTACAAGGGTATATAGCTGATAAAAAATTCAGAATCCTGAGTTCTTGCTACCTCTAAATCTTTATATAACCCTGAGACAGGATTAACAGCAGTTATTACTTTTGCTATTATTATTATTGGCAACTCTAATTATGTGACAGTTATCAAAAACCTTACAAATTATGTCTATTTTTAAAAATGATATAAACAAATGTTTTAAAAAACTTGCAGAAATATTATTTTGGTACCATATACTATTTAGCTATAAACTCTTAAATAAAAGATACTTTTTTGTAGATGAGCAAATGTGAAGTATTACTCGTTCTGAGATCTCCTCCTCTGTGAAATTCCACAGTCTTTTTCTATTCATAGACTTTTCCATGGCAAATATTAGCTGAAAGACAGGAAAATACACATTAATTGAATGTAAAATGAAAATTCAGTGTAGAAATAGATAATTACATGTCCTTAAGTTCCTATGTATCTTTAAAATTCCATGAGTCTAATCAATTTTTCTTTCCTTTAAAATATAGAACTAATATATTTACCATTTTGGATTTCATTTTTAAGGATTTACATAAAAATTGGGTACATAGATATGATTCACTATCATTAATTATTAGTTGGACATGAAATTTTGACTTTGGGCAGCCAGCATTTACATAAAATGTAGAATAGAGATTTTATTTTAATTGGATGAGAAACAACACGTGATTTTAACCACAAAAATGCAGGATGCTACCAATTGAGCATTTCTTATTTCAATGTCACAAAAGACTTATGACAATTATAAGAACACAAAAAATAGAATAACAGATTAAAGTAAAAAAAATCAGAATAGAGATATAAATCTGTACCAGAAATAATTATAAAATGCATGTGTGAAATGGGGCTGCCATAAATGTAGCTCTAAGCTTTCTAACAAAAATATGCAGAGCAGAGGGCTGACGTTGTGGCTCAATGGCTTGCCTCATACATGTTAAGACACAGGGTTTGATCCTCAGCACCACGTAAAAATTAATAAACAAAATAAAGATATTGTGTCCATGTATAACTAAAAAAATATTTTTAAAAAATATGCAGAGAGAAATCTGATTTGTTATCTAATTAAGATGGTCCAGACCTGGGGTGGTGGCTCAGTGGCAGAGCACTTGCCTCACACATATGAGGCACTGGGTTTGATCCTCAGTGCCACATAAAATAAACAAAATAAATACATTGTGTCCACGTACAACTAAAAAATTTTTTTAAAAAAATATGGTCTATAAGTTGAAAACAAACAACTGATCAAAAGAGGTACAACTTTCTTGATGAGGATGTCAAAGAAATTTTTTCCAGAAATATAATATTTTAGAATATGACAACCAACATTTTTAACAATAAACCCCATAGAAGAGATTAACAAATTTTATATAGTTATTCCTTACAATGTCTCTCAATATAGGCCAATGGAAATAAAGTTATTGAAATTTGACAATTTCTAAGATACAGAATTTCTAAAAATCACATTTTTTTTCAGTTGTAAATGGACACAATACCTTTATTTTGTTTATTTATTTTTATGTGGTGCTGAGAATCGAGCCCAGAGCCTCACACATTTGAGGCAAGTGCTCTACCACTGAGCCACAACCCCAGCCCCTAAAATATTACATTCTTAAGAACAAAAAATACTAAAGCAAAAGGAAGGAGGACCTGACTGGATCTCTCTACACTAAGTACACATACACACAGTATCAACCGCAAAAGCATACACAAGCAATGCTCCTAACATTAGATACACATATAATAAATATTTAAACTATATTTCAAATGGCTAAAGATGATGAACTATAATGAAAGAGGTAAATGAAAGAGGTGGAAGTGTAAACGATTTGCCTACAAAGGGAATATTTCTTCTTACATTCTTAGGCACAAATATCAAAGACATGAGAGTGGGACATGTGATAGGAGAGGTTACAAAACTGGAATGACCTATAGCCCCTTGGGTTCTAAGCTGCACATTTTGGTGGGGGTGGTTTACTAGGGATTAAACCCAGGGGCATGGTCACTGAGCCAATCCCTAGCCCTTTTTTGTATTTTATTTAGAGACAAGGTCTCACGGAGTTGCTTAGCACCTTGCTGTTGCTGAGGCTGACTTTGAACTCACAATCCTCCTGTTTCAGTCTCCCAAGCTGCCAGGATTACAGGTGTATGCCACTGTGCCTGGCTAAACTGCACATTTTTAAAATAAAAAAAATTTTCCTTGGGGAATCTGTGGGATTTTGTACTACTGAAGAGTATAAGGTTCTATTTTCTCTCTTGAGATGTAAAATACCCTTGTGAAAGTTTACTTGGGTCTTAAGTACTAACAGAGATGAAAGCTGCCTGCATAGAGTTTGATTTAGGTTTGTGTTTAAGATAAAACAGTTTGGGACAAAGTTATCCAATTCTCTGATAGAAGAATAAAACAAAACACACAGGGAATCCAGGATATATACTCTGCCCAGGAATAAAGAATAAGTATTTGCTATTCACATTTTATTCTCAAGATCTTAAGAGAACAAACAGAATAATTTCACATTATAGCAATCAGTTGGTACTAAGTAGAGGTCTAGTAGAAAACTACTATTGCACAAGAAAATTTCCTGAACCACTATAACTTGTTTCATAATACTGACATACTAAATTTCTTCAACCATTATGCCTTGTTTCATAATACTGAGATACTATCTGTAAAATAAAAAACTTTTAAATATGTAGCTTTGGTTGAAAATAATATTTACATTCCTTACATTCAAGATATCCAAGTAATTAAGTAGAAAAGGTATTTCAACATAATCCTAGCCTAGTGAATTATGCAGCACTAATCTAAATATGCCTAGGGTAACTGCAAACACATAAAATTAATTAAATAATATATAACTGATTTAATAAGAATTTCTGATATATCACTTACTCTGCGCAGGGCATTTTGAAAATCATTTGCCAGTTCCAAAGTTGTAATGATAAATACTCCAAGAACTAAAAGTCCCCCTGGTAGCATTCTGGATACCTAAAAACAAAAATACAGTATTAGCTCCCATAAGCATATTCAAACTTTTCTATTTAAGAAACCAAATATTAAATCAGCAACTACTTACCAAGTACCAACTACATTCATAACATTAAAGTAGGGACAGTTGAAAAATTAGTTAAAATAATGAGAAACATGGCAACAAAGATGAATGGGATATCATTATGTACACAATATTCCCAGAGGGTCCTTAGCTTTTCACATTAAAGTTGCTTTACAAATAAAAACCACTTAATAATAACATCCTTCAGCTACATTAATATATAAGCCCTTTTCTCAAAAGACTAAAAGACTAAGATAACTTCTGAAATCTTTTCAATGGTTTCCCACAATCAGCAAAATAAAAAATATTTTTTTTTTATTAGACTTATACTTCAGTCTTCCTAGAATCTGGTCAATCTGATGTTCTAAGCCTCATTTGACACTACTTTCCCTGAAATACTAAAAGTATCCACAAAAACTACTCACAGTTTTACATACCTATCCCCAGGCTTATTCTGTGCCCTTATTCAGGCTGTTCCCTCATTCCGAATTGACTTTCTCTTATATTTCCACATGTCTGAATTCTATTGAATACTTCAAAATCAGCTTGAGGAAGCTGACTTCCCTGATCATTTGAACTCCCGTAGGACTTTGGTATAGTTTTCCCATGGCCCTTTATCACAGAACCCTGTATTATATGTACAAACTACCAGTTTGTCCTCCATAATATCTCTATTTCTCTTCACATGATTGTAGCTAGTTCTCAATGCCTCACAGATTTTTCTCTGCCATCTATATTCAGAGACCAGAATGTTCCAGTTAGCTTTTGTGGCTTAATGTATAATCAAATGATCACAAAGTCCTCAGAAAATTAGATACCATGATCTAATCTCTATTGTATTTGCATTATGTCTGTTAATGGTTCCCTCTGATTTCACAAACTCTACTCCCTTAAATTTGATACAATTTTCATATTTAGCATGGAGGATCTACACATCTTTTCTAAAGACCACCAACACACAAAATTTGCTATTTTTTTCCAAAGGTAAAAAGGTTAATCAAATTTACTATATAAATTCATATTCTTTCTCTGTATGTGTTTAGATAGACAGACATATATATATGTATGCCATATACAATTTTATAGAAAATCAAAAGCAAAATTAGAATTTAAAAAGTTATTTATAGACCATTAGGAATGCAATGCAAAAATATTTGATACTTTCTTTATAAAGTATTTCTTGGATTTGTTTTTTAGAACTACATACTATTCCATCACAAATACAGGAACATGTATGTATATGCACAGGTACACAAGTTTGTGTGTTTAAAGGATTTAAATTTGAGTAGGAAATACTATTATTCTACTTTTATCTTAATCTAAACATTCTTGTTGGTTATCTGTTTTTTTACAGTGCTGGAGATCAAACCCCAGGTTCTTATACATGCTAAGTAAGTGCTCTACTCCCAACCCCCCATTAAGTGATGTAATTCTTACAATACTCTTAAGTGAATTAGTTTACTCATTAGCCCCTCTCACCCCTAAATCCATGTCTTCCTCTCATACTGCCAACACTGTTCTAGATGCTCACCCTAAAATCCTTACTCATCTTAAGCTTCTATCAGCCCACATCTCTTCATTCCCAATCTACTTATCACTAAATTTTGGTTCTAGCTCTTTCTCTGAAATCATATGGCAAAAAAGTTCTATCCACTGTGTCTATTCATTCAGGCATTAATTTATCGACTATTTTAGAGCTCCCATTATAAACTATAGAAATACTATGCTAGGCACTCAGAATACAGCAATTACTAAACAGGTGCCCTCTCCCCAAGTTAAGGTTCATGTCATCACTGTTTGGAATACATTGCAAGTATATATTTTCTATTCTGTTTCCACTCTCTATTCTGCATGCGAATTGTTCTAAGATATAAGTTACCTTCTAAATTACTGGCAAATCAGTCACACTATCCCCTTCTCACAATCAGGAGCTTTGACAGTCTACCACATCTACCAATACGCTCCTTAGGATACCACTCAAAAGCCATCAAAACTGGCCCTTCCAGTTTTATGTATAATTACATTCTTTTACATATTCCATGTTTCAACTATACTTAATTGCTTGCTGTTATCCTAACATACTCTTTGCTTCTATGCCTTTGTGTCATTTATCCATATTGTCCTAGCTATATTCAATGTGCTCTGACTTCTGTTGGCAAAGTCTTACTCGGCCTTCAAATCCAGAACCATCAGCAGCTTATTAAGAACAAGTATTCTGAAATCCTAGTCTAATAATCTGAGAACAAAGTACTTTTTCTTGTTAGTCAAATAAATACAAACTTAACTATATAAAGAGATAAATACCATTACCTGATTGGCATGTTCTGTGGCCCATTCTTCATCCAAATTATCCAACTTAGCTTTGGGATGTTTGAGGTTCTCATTTTGCTCTTCTTTGGGTGGTGTTCTAGTGGCAAGAATCACATAATCCTTTTGTGAAGAACACTTCAAAAACAAATTATAAAAGCTTATTAGGGCTTTATAAGAGCTTATCTGATTGAAAAATCAGATACTTTAGCTCTTAGGACATGCAAAAACTGAATAATACTTGTACTAAGTTAAGTACCCTTTTTATAATGGAATATTTATACCAAATTAATATCCATATTATAATGGAATCTGCATTTATGAAAACTAATGTTTATTGCCAAATGATAAACTTAGGGAACACTGAACAGCTCAGTTTAATTACAGTGAAAATTTCCTAAAAAGACTGAATATAAAGCTGATAATGCAAGTTAGCTTAACAGGGGTCCACTTTATGCTTTGAGTACAAATTTTGCTGCTTGCCTACAAGTAGATTATTTAAAACTGACATGGTTTGGTCTTGTTTTCTCTTTTCTTCTTCTTCACACTCTTCTGCTCCCTAACAGCAGGATAGACAAGACTAACATTTTCCTGTCCCAGGCTAAGCTATTGAGTCCCTCACTGCCCACAAGCATAAAGAAACTCCAAACCTGGGAACTGGAACAAGAGCTCTCTCAAGGACACCTGATGGACACCAATCAGTTTTATCTACTGATAATGTTTGGAACCCACTCCTTGTATTCCTCTTTTAAAAGCCCTGTGTTTTCCCTGGGAGGGAGAATCATGGCTTCTGGAACAAGAGTCCCCTGTGTTTCTCTTTTGCTAGCAAATAAAACTTTCTTTTTCTCAAAACCTTATCCTCATTATTGGCTCAGCAGTGGGACAAGAACTAAGCTTTTGGTATCATTAGGATGCTGTCATCTTCATATTTGACCTGAAACTCCTTAAGGATAATTAGCATCATCTCAGGATAGAAAATAAAGGAAGATTAATTATTTCTACAGAAGTTACTTTCAGAAGGCCAGGTTCAAATGTACACAGGAAAATAATACAGGTCCTGACTGAAAGAAGCTCCTCTTTTTTCATCAACTGTTTAACTAAGTAAACAAACAAACAAAAAAACTGGCACTAGGAGTTGGGAACAAGGAAGCTTGAGGAGAAGAAAAGTGATGAGCTCTGAAGTAAAAAGAAAAGCTGTAGAAAATCAGAAGGAATAAAAAGACAGCATGAAAACATACTGGAAGAAGGGCATTAAATTGTGAGATACTTATTTGCAAGATGGCAGTTGTACTAAGCTCTCAAAGTAGCATACACCCAGCAAGGCAAGTATGGAAGACTATCTTTATTCCTGACCTTTAATCTCTACTGATCATATCTTTAACACTCTTCCCTTTTTTAAAAAAATATTTTTTCTTAGTTGTTGATAGATCTTTATTGTATTTATTTATACATGGTGCTGAGAATCAAACCCAGTGCCTCACACATGCCAGGCAAGTGCGCTACCCCTGAGTCCCCGTCCCAGCCCCACTCCTCTCTTTTTCAAAATAAAGGGAAGGGAAATATTTGAATACAAATTTCTAACAAAAAGGCCCCTATATTAGATGCTAAGTTACCTGAGTCAAAAAGAAGTTCAGGTCACTGCCAAGACAGGCAGTCTGGCTGTCTAAAGATGGGTCTTGGAGAGTGGTACTACATGGATGAACAGTGCAGATATGCCCTGCCTTACAAGAAATCTAATTTTTGAAAACTCTGAAAATAAATCTTTCTCTGAGGCTAACGTGACATTACTAAGCTGATGAATAACGACGTAGAAAACCTGAATCTCATGAAGGACCTAAGCCCTCTGGGCAGTGTATTCCTTTTCCTTTTTCTTCTTTTAATACAGGGATATTTATTATTTTTTTTTTAATGGGAATTAAACCTAGAGCCTTGCGCATGCTGGACAAGTACTCTACCACAAGTTGTACCTCTAGCCCAGCACATTCTTTATCAGTAATTAACTTGAGCCATCAAATTTTAAGAGAAAAGAGCTTAGGGATGTTAACAGAATCATAATAAGGAGTAAAATTATGCAATTTGAAGGTTCTAAGCCATCAGACCAAAATAGGCAGAAAGAAAACTGGCACAATAAGACTTTTATTTAGTACTAGGTCTTAAAAATCAAGTGGCTGCTTATATTATGTAAAATAACTGTCCAAATCTCTGTTCTATTCAATGTTGATTTTTAAAACTTAACTATGAGGGAGATGGTCTATTTTTCAAATTTCCCCCAAACCCTTTCTTTCTCTAAGTTTTTTTTTTTGTTTGTTTGTTTTTTTAAATTCACTATGATGGAAATAAGAGCATATAACAAAAACATTACCACTGTTGGTCTAAGTCTGAGATAAGACAAACCAGAATGTCAAAAGCATTTTTTTTAAAGACCTGGACAATCAGGAATTAATAAGATTACAAGGGGGTACAAAATGCTTTGGAAAGATAACCAAATGTAAATGCACTGGTTAGTAAAAATTAAATTTTAGAGTTTCTACATTATATTACTTTCAGTGTCATCAAAAGGGAATGGGTCTGACTTAAAAAAAAAAAAAAAAACCTGGGTTAGGTCTGTACTACTAAATTTATGTTTCCTCAAAGATCCACCTAAGATTTACTTATACATCAGACCCTTCCATCCACCAATCTTAAGTTTACTTTTATATAGCATAATTAGCTTCAATGAACAAATAATTTGTTATATCAATAAATGTACATACCTGTCCTATCAAAAGACCAGAGATAAAAGCTTTTCCTTGGAGACTGATGTTTGAAAGATATTGGCCAACACTCTCTTCTACGATGTAGGTTCTTCCCATTTTTGAGAACTAATTCAACTCCTATATTACAAGGAAAAATTGTATATAGCATCATTAGGTAAAAATACAAATTTTTATGTTTTTAGGGGGGGGGGGGGGGGTAGTATAGTGAGAAAAAAATGGTACTACCCAGATACTACCTCATGTCTTGCAGTGATTGCTTATTAAACAAAGTACTCTTTTCTTGCAAAGTTCAAATGTAGTGCCACAATTCTTTTCAACACAGTGTTACAGGAAATGACTACCAATAAACCAGAGTTGAGATGAGAGATCACACCTATTTTTCATACTTGGGGTAAGTAAGAGACAGGACACTAAACTATCACTTGAAACACCTGATTTTTTACTTTAGATCTATTTCTTAATTGTTTTAGTTTTGATGTGCTTGAAATAATCAACCTTCCTGGACTCTGGTTTCCTAACCTAAAAAGTAAAGAATTTGGATCTTGAAAGATTTGAAAACCTATCTAATTCTAGGATTCTGTTACTCTAAGTACAGACTATTTGCATTTCTCAAGTGGTAGTACTTCACATACCAACAACCTTAATTGAAATGTTAATATGTATAATATTTGGAAGATAAAATCAACATTATTCTAGGTAAAACTGATTTAATTTACCTTAGTTACCACGAAATGTCATTAGATACTTTTGTTTGTAATGTCTTCACAACAAATTCAAAAGTAGGGACAAGAGAAAAATAATCAATGTCATGTAAAACTAAATCACCCATTCACAGAAGGCCCTCCTGACTGCAGGAATCACAGGGAAGATGACACCAGGAATGCCTCATTTTCAATGAAGAAATCACTAATTTTTTCAAAAAGAGTAATCAGACATGAAGCAAACTACAAACTGTGCTTAGACATTACAGAATTAAGATCTGGAAACAATTCTATTAATGGTGGCTCGGTGACAAATGGTTTTTAAGAACCTAACTTTTGTTACAACTGTTTTCATTTTTAAAAATCGACTCAACATTCTAATGTCACCTTAAAACACAGCTTACATTTAAACTCTTCTTGGTTTATTTTTATCCTCTTCCAAAAGGAAAACAACAACAACAACAACGAACTGGGCTCCTTGAATTCCTGTTGAATCACCAAAAGCATCCAAGGAGGAGGACTCACGTGAGGCAAGTTCGGCAGAACTGGACTTCCGTGTACACCGGAATGACTGTCCATATGTTTCCTACACTGGGTCCCTTCTCGGTGCCCAAGCGCGCGCGCTCACACACATACCCCTAAACACGCAGATTACCAGCTTAGCTGACTCACCTGTTCTCAGGATGCGTACGCTGCCAGATGAATCTCCCGAACCGTCGGTGCACCGAGAAAAAGACTGAGGTGCACGAGCCCCAGCCTCCAGGGGCCAGAATACCCTCTGGTTCCAATTCCACAGCCAATGAATTCATCAGAAAGCGACCGACTTCTTACACCTCACTTCCCACCCTAAACCCAGGGTCTCGAGTCAGGTGGCGCAGACCGATGACGCACGTGATCCCCTCTCCCTTCGCTGCGGCTCTGCAGCTACAGCGGCCGCGGTCGCTACCCCGCCCCCTTCCGGGCGCCATTGAGAGCGTGGCGGTAGCCCAGAGCCTGCCGTGCGGCCCTGTCGGGACCGATGCCCTCTAGTGGCTCAGTGCCTAGAAGCCGCCAAAGAGGACGACCCATGGCATCCCGTGGCTTTGACGGTAAGGCCGCCCTGCTCTTCAGGGAGGGAAATGGGTTGACGAGTACGTCTATGGCGCCACCGCGTGGACAGGGATCCTGCAGCCGAATGAGGAGAGCCGGGGGGCGGAGAGAGAGGAGGAAGCGGAACGGGTGCTTCGGGGCTGGGAGCCACGGAAGGGAATGAGAAAAACACTACGTTTCCCAGAGGCCTGCGAGGCGTGGAGCGGTTGGGACTGGGAGCCGGAAATTGAATTGCTCTGCGGGGTCGGAGGCCGCTTCTGAACTCGGACTCCCAGGGTGCACGGCTTCCGGCTGCGTCTGCACTTTGGGCGCGGGCGCCAAGGCGCGTCGGGCGCTTACCCTATAACGCAGGACTCGATTTCCCAGGGTCCCGCCGCGGGAGTCTCCGGCGGGCAGGAGCGCGCGAGCACCGGGCCGAGACTGCAGACGCTGCGTCCCCGGCTTCAGGGTCCTGTCCTTCGCCTTTCTTCTCCGGTTGTGCTCCGTCGGCTCCTGTCGCCGGCCCGATCGACATGGCGGCAGTGTTGCAGCAAGTGCTGGAGCGTACCGAGCTGAACAAGCTGCCTAAGTCCGTCCAGAACAAACTTGAAAAGTTCCTTGCTGATCAGCAGTCCGAGATCGATGGGCTGAAGGGACGGCACGAGAAATTTAAGGTGGAGAGCGGTAAGCGAGACGCTGTTCCCGCCCTTGGCTCCACTTGAGCTGTGGCCCATCTTCCGCCTTTGCACACTTGCCCTCCTCTTTACATCTGCGACGTTTTCTATTAGTATCTCTTTCAGGGCTCCTTGAGCGCCCAAGGCCTTCTCTTTCCTACTCCCGCATGTTGGTAAGAAGGATCCACTGTTGTTTTTCCAAATCGGAATCCACTCTTCCTTGTAATTAGGGTGATCTCACGTAGGCAGTCTTAGGTTTGTCCAATAAACAAAATTTTTTTGCACCAGACATTTGAACGTTTGCAACTTCTATCTCTCTATATCTACAGAAACTGATCTATTTGTTGCACTGTAAATGGCAGTAATTTCTGCTCTATTTTCTAGTCACCTGAATTCCTAAGAATTCAAAACAAAACAAAGCAGAGTCTGATGACCACTTCGTGCACTTGTTAGTATACATGTCACACCATGATCCCATATCGAATTAGTGTGCCCCAAAATGAGTTTAGATGCAAAAGACAGCACTGGAAACTCAGTGAACTTGCAGTAAAAAAAATTAATGTTATTTCTCTCTAAAAGTTGGAGTTTCATAAAAAATACGTTGAGTTCTGCTTCTATTTATCTATAGTGGGCCTTCAAATAAGAAAATTATCCACAGTGTCTTGAACATCCTTGAAAAAACTTTAAGAATATAGTGATTATTGATAATAAAATACAAATTCCTGTCTTTTTTTTAATTTGCCCTTAGGGGAAGTTGATTTTTTTTTTCTTTTTTTGCTAGATTGCCCAGAAATTTCCATCTAAATAAATTTTCCACTTCAAAGAAGTGTAATTGTCGAGCAGAATTAATCTTGAAATTAGACAGTTCTCAGAATCCCACAGCTAAATATACACTGCATTCTGTCCAGTAATTTGCACAGTAAATATTGAGCATTAGCTGTATGCTGGATACTGTGCTGAAGCAGTCTGTCTCAGTCTCTTCTCTTGGGAATTTACACATTAATTTTTACAGAAGCTTAGTAATTTTATGCTTTCAGTTATTTTGAGTATTTTACAACAAACCTTTTAAAACAAAGCAGTTTTTAACCTAAACATTTTTTTTCCATGTAATAAATACTTTTAAAAATCTGCCTTATGCCAAGTAGTCTACTGATGTCTCAGTAAAATACTAACACATATGATATCTTGCCTGCCTTGAAGAAATTAATTTGTAAACCCCTTTTAGGCCTTATTTTCTTTTGTCGTGTAAGTCAGTTGGAAATGTTAATGAATCCTTTTGTGTGCTTATAGATGTTAGAGTCTCTTCTTTGGAGTGCAGTTCCAATATTGTATCTTAGATTTTAAAATCAAAGTCATTAGGAATTAGCAGTATTAATAGTGTATTTGGTTTTATTTTAATTTTATTTTTTTCTACTTGCTTTCTGTAGAACAACAGTATTTCGAGATAGAAAAGAGGTTATCCCACAGTCAGGAGAGACTTGTAAATGAAACACGTGAGTGCCAAAGCTTGCGGCTTGAGCTAGAGAAACTCAGTAAGTATTTATTTATACCTTTATAAGTATAAGCATTCTTGGAGTGTTGAGATCTCCAGATACTCTTTGTGTTGTTTGAAAACATTTGCTTACTGTATATGAAAATACTGGTTAAGTATTACTGTTTTTGTTTATGGTGACATTGATTTTTTTCACTCAGTAAAGACTGCAAGAACACGGGGCTTAATAATCATGAGACCTGGGTTTTTTTTTGTTCTTGTTTTGTTTTTTGGTACTGAGTATTGAACCCAGGGGCAATTAACCACTGAGCCGCATCCGTGACCCTTTTTATTTTTTATTTTGAGAGAGAATCTCGCTAAGTTGTTGAGGCTGGCCTCAAACTTTCAATCCTCCTGCCTCAGCCTTCAGAGTCAACTGGTGTGACAGGCGTTCATCACTGCACCCACCAATACCTGAGTTCTAGTTCTGATTTTGCTGTTAAAAGTGGTTTGGCCTTATGTAAAACAAAGCAGAGTCTGATGGTTTTAAAAGTAGTAGGCCCACATGGGCTTCTACATAATCAGCTTTACATATCAAATAAGATTTTTAAAGTTATTGAAAAAGCTAAAGCAGTACATAACTGAATAATTGGGGTGATAGAATTGTTTTACATTGACAAATTAAAGCCTATTGATTCCATTATTTGACTTCTGTTATTATTTTTATAAACATTTATGAAACTCAGAGTATTTCCTCTTTCAGGCCTAGTTCTTGTGAATGATGGGTAGCCAGTTCTCTTAGTTTTCTTCTATCATTAACTTCTAGATAGTATATAAGATTTTAAATGACGTGTATGTTCTTTTTTTACTATAAAAGAAAGCAAATGTTAGGTGACATTTAATAGAGGAAGGGCATAATTAATTCCTTTTAAATATAGCTTGATTTTACTTTAATTTGGAGAAGCAGGAAGCTCATAATCAAGGGAATGTTAAAATTTCAGCTTTCTCTGAAAAATATTCATTGACTCTTTGGGTTTAACGTGTGTTTTAGCTACTCTTAGCACACTCCACTTTTAAAACATGATGTACATAGCTGATGTGTGTTTATATGTGCAGGAGCATAAATAAACTAGATCTGGTTCATCTGTACATAGCTTTTCCTTGACAAAGTAAATAAAAGATCTGTTCATGGGCTGGGGATGTGGCTCAAGCGGTAGCGCGCTTGCCTGGCATGCATGCGGCCCAGGTTCGATCCTCAGCACCACATACCAACAAAGATGTTGTGTCCGCTGAGAACTGAAAAATAAATATTAAAAAAAATTTTCCCACCCTCCCCCTCTCTCTCACTCTCTCTATCTCTTAAAAAAAAAAAAAAAAAAAAGATCTGTTCATCATGAAAATGGTTGTGTTTATAGTTTTAATCTGGCTGGGTGAGAGTATAGGGGGTAAACCTGCACAAAGATCAGATATCTTCTACAATTATGTTTATATTAGGGGGAAGGGTACGAGGGATTGAACTCAGGGGCACTCAACCACTGAGCCACATCCCCAGCTCAATTTTGTATTTTATCAGGGACAGGGTGTCCCTGAGTTGCTTAGCGCCTCACTGTTGCTGAGCCTGGCTTTGAACTCAAGCCTTCTATATCAGCCTCCCGACTTCTGGGATTACAGGCGTGCACCACCGTGCCCAGCTATGTTTGTATTTTTTTATATGAAGATAATTCTAGACCTTTAAGTCTAGAAAGCAGTAAATAAATTAAAGCAAATTAAGAAATCTACACTAATTTAGCAGGGCTTTTTCCCCTTTTGCAATCTGTGACTTAAATAGAAGTAAAAGTTTGAATTGCTAATGATGTGTTGTTCATTAAATTGCTAGCATATAATATAGATATGTTTTATGGAGGAAGTTCCAAAAAATATATTACTCATAATTATCTGCATTTTTTAAGGAGAGAAACTGTAAGGAAAGAGCATTATGAAGTAGATATTAGGGAATAATCATTAAATATCAAGCATAATTTTTTCTTCCATGTTAAAGCAAGTCTTTAGAGTAATAGGTATGGAATTGGCAAATGTCTGTTATTATGATTTACTCAATGTATTTTATTTGTTTAAATGATATTTTGTCTTAATCTATCATTTTTACTTGATTTTCTCATTTATAAATTAGTTATGATGTAGTTTTGTATAACATATGTTGGTTTCTTCAGAAGATGGTGAAAAATAAGGAAATTGATAACTGTTTATGTTTTCACTACAGACAGTGGTAGAATTATTACACATTTGATTTTGGACATTGAATGGCATATTCAAAATTTTTGTCTAAAACAGTAAATTTGATATAAAGACCAATCTACAATGTGTTTACAACTCCATCTTTTTGGGTTTCAATTTCTTTATTTTAAAAAAGTATAAGCATGGCAGCTGGATGGAAACACTCATTGCAAGATTCAAGCTAACGTACATATGTTCAAAATTTTCTCTAATCTAGACAGTCAATTGAAGGCACTAACTGAGAAAAACAAAGAACTTGAAATTGCTCAGGATCGAAACATTTCCATTCAGGTAAAAGATATTTCTATGTATAAAGTTAATTGTTAATATTCTCAAGGAAG